GAAAAACAACTTATGAAAAAATGAATCCAAGATAATTTTTTATTGTCTTGTGCGGGCATTGTGAAAATGCACTGAAAGCCCGATAAAAATTATGCAAACTAGATACGTTTTGGCCAATTTCGAACTTTCGTATTTTTTGCCAAGATAAAAACTCGCTGGAACTTTTGAATGTTATTTTTGAAAACATTTCACCAAAAGAGTCTTTTGGAGCGAATAAAAAAAAAATTGAATTTTTGCTTCTGTCGCCGGATTTTTGAAAATTACTGACAACCTCTCTTAACAATTTATTGATTCCTTTCCATGTTTTTTTCATATTCTTTGCGTTTTCATGAAAAAAAAAAAAAGTAATGTTGCTTTTTACTTAAACGCGTAAGGGTGATGATTTTATTTCTATAAGATTTATATTCGCTACAAATTCCACTTTAACTTTATTTTAATTGACGTTATTATTCCCTTTGTTATCCATGGTTTTGCAAGTTGTTTAATTTAACGTTTTGATACAACTTTCAAAGGCGCATGTTTTTGCACGACTTTATTTAATTGCTTATAAAAAGATGAAAATTGGTCGTTAACGCTATTTGCTTTTGATTCTATGATATTATCCCAGTCGACTATTGACAGATCATTATTAAACCGCACAAAGGAGAAGTCTGAGAAGTCGTGTTTCTTTGTTGTTGTTTTGTTAGCAACTTTCTCTCTTCCTGAAGTCAAAATGCAAACTGAGAGAAATGATCAGAAACGTCAGTGACGATATTTCCACTAATTAAAACTTGATCGGGATTGTTAACAAAAATATTATCAATGAAAGAGGCTGACACTCTATGTACACGTGTTGGTTTGTCAATAGTTGGAAAGAGATAACTGCTTTGTAAGGCCAGTAAGAAGTCCTGGCTGTATTGAGATTTCTCGGTCTTCAACAGACATAGGTTGAAATCCGCCATTATATGGATTGTTTTTCCTGTGGAAGCTAGCTTTGCGATTGTATTACTAAAATATTCAATGAAACAATCTGGAGAATTGTGTCGGCGATAAAGGATGCCGCATATGACATTCTCCTGTTTGCTAAAAGAAATTTCGATCCACAATGCCTGAAAGGCTTCATGCGTCTTCTTTTCAAGCACTGTGTAATTAAGGTTTTCATCTATGAAGAGCCCAACACCACCAGAGGCCAGTGGTAAACAAAAGCGTAAGTTGGAATTTTGGTAGCAAAATTTTGATTTGTGTTGGTAATTTCCGTCTAAGTAATCCCAATAATACCGAAGTTGAAATCTAGATTCTCTTAATAGTGAGTTACAAGTTTTTCAAGATTTTTGTTTACAATATTATTATGAAAAATTGAAAAACTAGATTCCAATTGCTCCTTCGTTAAACCATTGCTGAATTTTAAAATTATGGGGAGAGAAGTAGCGACTATAAATTTTATGACTATAGATTTTATGACTTTTGGCGAGAATGAAGGCTATTATTTAACTAAAAATTGATTCGTAAGTGCCTATCTGGGCTATCTGCAATAGCAGACAAAACCAGATTTCTCTTGACAAAATCAAAGGACAAATTGTGTCATGACGAATTTTTGTCTCGATTTCTGCATCTGCTTCAAATTTCAAAACTGTCAAACGTATCAAGAAAAGCGGATCAACTTAAAGTTAAGCAGGCTTTGTTTAACGATTAAAAATGACCGTATATGGCTACTTTGGAACAATGAATGACGGAAACAGCTTTAAAATACACGCGGGATTTTTCAAATTTCCGATTATCATACGAGCGGCAGATTTAAACCATCAGCAAAACTGATGATAAGACAAATCCTCCCCGTGGGGGTGATTCTGGTAGACTTTTTAGGATGCAAATAGTCACGGTGGGGTGGATGGTGGGGCGACTGTAGCTTTCGTATCTGAAGTAAAGAGATGTCACCGTTTTTTCCTTTATATTGCATAAAACTGGCGAGAGACATATTCAATTAGAGGCTCACTGTGCGATGCAAAGGTGATGAGAGCATGTGTAACCTGGTATTAACGTCCGAAGCCTACCACGCCGTTGAATCATGTAGAAGACTATCTTCATTTGCTCGATTGTTTAATGTGCGTGTATTTAAATTTTGCACGGCGTGAATGAGGTTTTGTTCCATTCATATTTATAATTGAATTTCGTCAGCGCTTTATCTGCTCATGAGACCAGCTTGCATAGTTTGCCTATGGACTCAAACTCGAGTTTCAGGATTCATCGTACGTCGTTTCAAAGTTTTAAAACCACGAATGTCGCGACAAAAAAAGTTAATGCCTGCCGTGTAAAATTTAGTGAGTTCAATAACAAGCTGGTGGCAGCTTTTACGACAAATGGCGTTGAAAACTCAGTCTCCTTTCACTGCCTTACATTCTTCTTTTTACCCTGGATGCTAAAAAATACTTTTACTACATTTCCAGTGTCCTCTCAGGTGTTCTGATGTTTAGAACATACCAATAACTGTTTTATTTTTTCTAAATTAGGGCCGAAATACCCAGAGCCACTCCAATCTTTGCTTTCCTCGAATCAAGTTAACATTTTAAAAGATAAAATTCCCATTAAAATGTAAAATTCTTCAGTCCATTTTAACAGCTTTCGATGCTTCTTCGTTTCACTAATTAATTTTGGTTCCAACTTGTAGAACCCATGAAACAGGTCGTATGACAAAGAGAAAAGTTAGCACAATCACGTCACGCAATACATCAAGCTGGGTTTGTCCAATTGATTTTGATGGTCGCAGGGAAATGTCGCGTTTGTCGCTCAAAACCGTTGTGGTCCATAACAGCGTAACATCGTTAATGACGGTAACAAATTTGCAGAAAAAAGGGCTAGTTCATCGGGTTCCGTGTTCTCAATCTCGCGAGAAACTGCAAGAATTGTTTCAGAGTGTATGGGTGTTGTTTTGTAAATATAATCACTGTAACCTGTTTTAACTTGTTTTTGTGTCCCTTTTAAGCAATGCAATATGTCTGTTATGACCAGAGAGCCAAATTTTATTCTTTAATTTTGATCTTCTCCACACTGTGCGTAGTTCATGACAAGCGTTATCTCCGGGTCTCCTCCGATCACACTAGTATGGAAAATATTTCAGCTGAAGTTTCCATATTTTGTCCGTGAACTAACTGAATACATCTTGTAACTTGTAGCAAGATAGAATTCCGTGACCTACATTGTTATAGTCGCTGGACAAAATCTTTGAAATTTACACTTTCGATCGCTGTCCACGGGGGTGGTCTGGCCAAAAATCATTTTTTGCTTGTGACGGTGCAAAAAAAGAGAATCGGAGAACAACTAAACTATTTTTGAAACATGTGCCCTAAACCCTTTTCATGGGCAAAAAATAAAAGAAAACTTTTTACCGACGGGAAGTCGAGGAGGACCACTCTTAGCGAGAGCGACACTTAAACTTTCTAGACTTCTGTTTGTTGGAAGCTCGCTTTGAAATGAGTTGTGAAATTCTCTATGATAAAGAGGTCAAGTCAAAATATGGAAATTCTTTAAAAACGACTTTTGCACTTCGTTCACGCGTTTTGCATCTTCTGTTGCGAGTTTGCATTTAGAGCGGGAGATCAAGCCGCAAATAATACAATACTTACAATACTCAGCTGTCACTTCCTTGAACATATGCATTTAGCTCCTCTTCGTTTCTAAATTTACGAATGGGAGATGCTTCTGATTTTCTGAAGTAAACAAGCCCGTTCTTTACCCAACGAAACTTGATATTTTTGGCATCTTTTTTAACTTCTTTGCTTCAAACAGGAGATTTTGCGGGCGTGGTGTTAGGTGATCGTAGATGTTTAGGTTCGTCACATCGATTTCGGACGAGAATCCCAACTGTTGTATGTCTATGTTCCTCACTGCCTTCCTGGCTGTCCTCATCTTCTCTTCCGCTAGTCGACGTACAAAATTTGCAAATGACTGCGTTTGGCTGGTTGGATGGTTTTATTGCTGGCATACGATGCGCAATGTCTATATCATTGATTTATATTTCTTTGACTCCCATTTGTCTAAAAAGCTGCAGGCAGAGATTTGCGGTTTGCTCCGAAGACTCCCGTTCAGCAACGGCAATCCAGTGATTTTGAAATTGAACTGATAGCTGTATATTTCAAATGAATCAATCGATTTCGAAAGTCGGTCGTAGGCATCAGAGATTGAGTTTAACTTGAGTTTCATTTTCTTTATCTCTTCGGATGCATATTTCCTGAATGCCTGGAACTCATCGTACTGTGCAGATACAAATTCAACTGATTTGGCCTTACTCTCTGGCGATGAATCACTGCCATAGCCGCAGCTCGATCACTTTCTTCGGTTCTGTTATCAATTTCCACACTTAACTTTTCCAAATGTTTCTTCAGTTCGGCAACTTCGTTTCTCAATTGCTGATTTTCCTTTCTTAGTTGACTATCTTTTCCAGTCATCTTGTTTGGTTTGTCTGAGATGAGTTACAAACGGAGGAAAGAAAGACTTGTCCACTCCGCTCGAGTGACGTGCTGTATGTTATCGCGGTTCCTTTCATGCCATGGTTCTTTCCTCAGAACGAGCTGTTTTAAAAGTGAAATGAAATTTCGCATAGGAATGTTGTTATATCTTTTTTATTGTAGAAGTTTTGGGCAAGACCATGGAAAATCAAAATTTACAATATGTATTTTCCTGTATAGTGTACGTATATTGTGCTATGAACTTTAAAATATAAGAGTTGCCCTTTTCTTGACCAGAAAAAATGCGGTTATTCCGAAATTAGGGCATAAACTAGGCATTGTGACAATATCTCGGCACCTGCAAACGAGGCGCGTTTAGCAGAGTTAACTCGCGTCGGGGTAATTATAAACGTTATAAATCGTGTGTATGGACATTTTTTTTTTCAACTTTAATTGAAGCAACTCAATACCAACAATGGAAATTAGTTTGTTCAAGATTATCTTCAACAAAATAAGGATGAGTTTCTCGAGAACGAGAACTATAAGTCTCTAACAACTATAATTTTCTTTCCATTTTAGAGTACGTTAAACCCCACAAGGGAGCCACTCCAGGTAAGTTATATATTATCGTTTTAGTAATTTTCATCTTACAGTTTTTCAATATTTACATTGTGCATTATACGATGGATACATCTGTTTGCTTGAGGTAGAGCAAATATACACGATCAGTAGGATATTCACTTTCATTTTCTTGATTTTATTTTAACACGTTTTATTTGATTTTATTCATTTAAGCATCTTAAGTACAACTACATTTCATAGCTCCTTCCACAGTGCGATGCAAATGAAACTGGGCTTTTTTGTTAAACTCGTTTGCATGAGTATTCACAGCATAATCTTTGGGAGACCGTGGTGATTTTTCATAGTTAATCGTAATTACTCATGTTTGCTCTATTTTTCAAAATATTTGGAGAGTGTGCAAGACAATTGATGGTAGTAGTGAATCGTGGTAGTTTTGATTGTAGTTTTCTTTAATTTGTTGTTATGTTTTTGTTGTTATCATTTCCGAAAGCTGATAGATTTTTCTACATTGTACGGTATTTATCGGAGATATGGATGTTTATCTAAATGTACAAAAAAAAGACTAACCTGTCCACAACCAACCCACGATTGGTTTGATTGATTAGTTTTTTGTTTTGAGTGAGTGCACGGTTTTTACCTAGTTAAATATGCACATTTTTGTATTTATTTTGAGAGTAGAGCGGAAAGGTCCATGGAGGTGCTAAAGAGTATATGAACGGTTTTTCTTAATTAAATGTGCAATTTTAATATTTCTTTTGAGGGTTTACCGGAAACGTCTGAGGATGGGCTAACGGTCGAGTTGTCGGCCTTTGAATCTCTTTACGATGGCCAATTCGAATTATCAGCAAAGTTGATTAAAAGGAAATTATTTTGTTATACTCTCCACCGACGCAGCACCATAGTCTTTACTTTGACGTTTAGTTCAGTTCATTAGTGTTGCATCTAAGAAACAGTGCTTTCAATGAGATTTGGAGTACGTGGCTACCTCGGTAAAGCACCCGCCGGAGAAAAATATGAAAAACAATTCCCTCCCATTGGCCCATTAGTTCCACTGCGAACGAACTGGCTAAAAACGAAATTTTCGGTTTTATAAACTTCGGCAAATATTTATTTAGGGATTCAGATGTATTCGCAAACCTTATCGTAATCATTAATTTTGTGTTCATTTTAGGGACAAAGATGATGGTAGAAGGTAATTCATTTGTTACCTACGATAATGTATCTTAGTGACTTTAATTTTGACGGTGTTGCAACATTCACTCTTTGCAGTACACATTGGATATGTATGGATGTATGTTTAATAATTGCTCCGTATTTTTTACTTCATTTTCCTAGAGCACATTCTATTGTGCAAGACTGATTGAAGCATCCAAGTATAAATGCATAAAAGACCTTGAGCTTTTGTATTTATTTCTTCTTTTCATGCTATCGTAGATCTACAGCATCGTACAGGAGTGTAAGGAATTTTCTATTTTCTTCACATTCCCAGACGATGCCGTAGATCGGCGAAAGCTTGGAATAAAAGAGAAATTCAGTTGGCCAAGGCCTCAATCGAATCGTCCACTTTCCCGGTTTCTAAGACCTGTAAATTTAAACATAAATTTATGTTTCGTTGTGTGTCCATGTGAGCTATTACTGGTCCCAGATTTCCATTTACCATAGAATATTTTAATTTTGCTGTTGCAGGGAAAATGAAGCAGTTGCTTTATCAGACATTTCTTCGATAAATAACCCTTGTACTTGTTTCTGTTAACTTTTCTTTATATATATAATACACTCTTGGAGTTAGGAAAATACTTTTGTTTTTTAAGTAAATTAGTCGTTCATGATAGCAACACCTGGGGGTCAATGCTGTGAAAAAATTGTGCACTCTGTACGTTCTCTATATCATGTCAATATAGGATTGACATGATTTTAAAAACCTTGTCGTAATTAGTTATTTTTTCTTTTTTTTAGAGTGGCGGAAGGGGCGAGAAGGTAATTCGTTTGTTATTTATGGTAATGAAACTTAGTAACTTTTATTTCGACAGTGTTTCAATATTCACTCTATGCACTACACATTGGATATTATATTTCATATAATCGAGCTTCGTGTTTCATCAGGATTCCTAAACACTCGAATACAATAAAAACACTCGGCCTGCTGCCTCGTTCTTTCTTGAGTTTTCCGTGTTTAGAAACCTTCATGAAACAGTCGCCTTCGTTTATGAACCATAAGTTTTGCTTTAGAAAAGATGTTGATGAAAGCAACCAGTCATCATATCAGTCCATTTTTCTCCACTAACTCAGACTTTGCTTAGCCATTAAAATTGACATCGATCTAGTTTGCTTAATTTCTCCCAAATGTGATCGAAATTCTTCTGAACTTTTCATCACTAAGTCTTCAACCAATTTTAATTATTAGGTTATTTATATAGATTTTGAAGCGAAATAAGAAAGGTTTGCGAGGCAAATGTCGACAGGTTTAATTTTTGCGCGGAAGTTACCTTTAATTCTTCATTGAGATTTTTAAAGTTTTTCCCGAGTGAAAGCTTTTGATTGGAAAAACTCCTATTGGACGTTTTGGTGTACTGTATCGGTGAGCATTCTTAGTTGTTTCTTTGATTCTCGTCGCCGGTGCGACAAAATGTAGCGCTTCTTCAAGTTGAATATTCGGCAACACTTCACTTCAAGACATGTCGTGACAGGTTTAATTTTTGCGCGGAAGTTACCTTTAATTCTTACTTGAGATTTTTAGAGTTTTTTCCGAGTGAAAGCTTTTGATTGGAAAAACTTATTCAGAGTAAACCTTTATTTCTTTGAGAGTAACAACCAGAGAGAAAAGCTGTTTCCACAATCCTTCTTCTTTAAACGTAACTAATTAGTGAGGTTTTCTTATTCACGAGTATATTCTCATCAAAATCAGTAAGGGACTTGGATGATTTATGTCTTACGTAGAAGTAATCCTCATTTTGCTTGCCTTGCATCGTCTGAAAAAAAAAATGAAATTAGTTGGCTGTGTTACTAAATCTTTGTAGTTCTCTATTTCCACAGTCTTACATGTTGCACACTGTACGCGAAGTATAAAGGGGAGAAAGCAAGCAAAAATACTAAGAGAAAAACTTAAAGAAACAAGAAACAAATACTAGCCTATTAACATCAATTTGTTTGTTTTGTATCTGTCTTGTTTTTTTTTCTTGTTTTGGTATTCGAGGCAATCGTTTCGCTTGCACTTTGGACTATAATTTCAGAAGATAAAGAAAATTCGTAAACAAGCAACCTCTTAAAGAAGAGCAACAACGAAAACAGCGCTACTTTAACAGACATTTCTGTGATAAATAACCGTTGTATTTGTTTCTGTTAACTTTCATTTATGTATAGAATACACTTGGAGTTAGGAAAATACTTTTGCATTTTAGCATTATGACTTTTGCATTATAACAACACCTCACGGGGTCAATGCTTGGAAAAAAATTATGCACTCTTTAGCCACCAGGGCCCAATTATCCAAAGAACAAACCGCTATCGAGGGGATTAATGATAACAAACATACTACACTATCCACCGGATAGAGATTTATCTAGCGTTATCGAGCCTTTGAACAACCGGAGCCAGATCTGTAGGTTCCCTAGATCATTTCATTAAAGGACTCAGATGATTTTGGAAACCTTGTCATAATTAGTCATTTTGTTTCATTTCAGAGGAGAGGAAGAGGAGAGAAGGTAATTTCTTTGTTATCTATGACAATGAATCTTAGTAACTTTTATTTTGAAAGTGTTCCAATATTTACTTTTTGCAGTACACATTGGATATGTATGTATTTTTGATAAAAGCAAATATACTCAGTTAAACGCTCCGTATTTTTTACTTCATTTTCTTAAAGCACATTCTATTGGGTTAGAACGATTGAAGCATCCTAGTATAATGTATAACAGGCCTTGAACTATTGTATTTCATTTTCCATTCCATGCTATCGTAAATCTATGGCATTGTTCAAGAATGTAAAGAATTTCTATTTTATTTACATTCCCAGACGATACCATAGATCGGCGAAAGCTTAGGATAAAAGAGAAATTCAGTTGCTCAAGGCCTCAATCGTATCGTCCTCTTGTCTGGTTTCTTAGGCCTGTAAACTTGAACATAAGTTACTGTTTCGCTGCGTGTCCATTGAGCTATAATTGGTGCCGGATTTCCATTTACGGTAGAATTATTTAGTTTCTACTGCTTTATCAGACATTTCTGCCATAAATAACTTTTATATTTGTTTCTGTTAACTTATATTTATGTGTAAAATACACACTTGGAGTAGAAAAATACTTTTGTTTTTTAGGTCAATTAGTCTTGTATTATAACAACACCTCACTGTGGTCAATTAATGCTGTGAAAAAAATTGTCCACTCTTTAGCCACCAGATCTGTAGGTTCTCTATATCATTTCATAAGGGGACCGAGATGATTTTGCAAAACGTGTCATATAATTAGTCATATTTTTTCATTTTAGAGGAGAGGAAGAGGCAAGACGGTAATTCATTTGTTATCTTTGATCATTAATCTTGGTAACTTCTATTTTGACGGTGTTTCAATATTCACTCTGTGCAGTATACATTGGATATGCATGTTTGATATTAGCAAATATACTCAATAGTACATTGAGTTTCAATTCTTTTATTTTATCATAGCATATTCTATTAACTTAAACTGATTTAAGCTTCGTATTATAAATATACAACAATAGCGGCAACAAAAAGAAAACACAATGGTATAACGCAGCTCAATGCTTGGAAATGAAGCTGAATCGTTCCCCGGTGTACATCCCAGTAATTCCCTCCACAAACAGAACTTAACTGATTACTTTTTAACAACTGATATCTGTGTGATCTAACCAGCTACGGTCGAAAATTACCCAATAACAGTCATCGGAAATAATGCTGAGACTGATTAAATAATATTGTTAGCACAGTCAGGTCGTTTCTTCAGCAGAATCTGACCAAAAACTAAACTCATTTTCAATTATGTACTGGAAGCGCCCGTAGCCAATATGAAGCGAATTCTGTGTTCTGATAGGCTATCTGAGCTGGATTATCCGCTTTGATCCCATCGCTGCTAACATATCGTCCAATTCATTAAAGATCAAATCGTACTGGTTTTAATTAACAACTGAAGACACTACAGCAAAAAGGAAAGGGCCCTCAACAAGAAGCATTTACAATCCTACCGGGAAGTGTCTTTTACTGAAAGAGACCGAGACTCTTTTAATTTTAGAGCAGATTATTGAAAATAGAAAAATATAAACAAACAAACAAACAAACAGAAATGGCTGTGAAATCGGTGTTTGCACCAATTAAAAACATGATATTGATTGCATGTAGCTTCACTTTTAATACCTGTGTTGTCACACATATTTTCCTTGGCTGCAAGGTACAAATCAAAAATACTCATCAATCATGAACTTGCCAATGTATACAGTTGTGAAAAGTAATTTTGAATTGTTTGTTTTAGACATCGATAGCCAAGGGGAGCATATCTTTTTAGATATAAGGGACTTTTTCCAAATTAGCAGGTAATTTAGTGTTAGTAACTGAGTTGAAAACGTAAATTAGCAACCGAAAAGGATAAAAAAAAACCTGACGTTTCGAGCGTTAGCCCTTTCACAATCGCTCTGACGAAGGGCGAACGCTCGAAACGTCAGCTTTTTTACCCTTTATGGTGGCTAATTTACGTTTTCAACTCAGTTCTTAACACTAAATTACCTACTATACTCTCCTACCGACACAGCACCACAGTTTCTTTATAAACTTACCCCCTTTATTCATTTTTCTTAATTTGTCTAGTTGATCACTCAGCAACCTTTAAGTTGCAACTTTCCTCTTTTGAGACTGTTTGTTGTGCTCATTTGTATGGGGTTAGGTGACTCATTTTTTCATTTTTTTTTTCTTTTTACAGAGAACAGCTTCAATTCATGATGAATTGATGAAGTTTGTTTAGCCAAAAATTGTGGCTATTGGTGAACGATTTGATTTTGATAAACTATGTAACATCTATAAGGGCATTAATTTATGCAGTGTACCACAACATAGCATTGTAGATAGCATTGTGGCTTTGCTGTCATCATTATATATATTCAATATGTGGTGGACAAACACAGCAAAGCCATATAGTCTTTCCTAAAGCAAGCCCTAATGGGTATTGGCCAAGACCATACTTTGCTAAATGTCAGCACCTTCTTTAATGGCACCTTCTTTAATGAAATTTCAGAATTGTAATCATTGGTAGAATTTTATTCGTGATTTATGTCTGTATGAAGAAATGTACTGTTAATGTTGGATATTCTTATTACTGTGGTTTATAGCCCTTTCACAGCAGTTTTTTGCACATGCATTTTTTTTAGTTTGCCAAAAAAGTTCACAATTGGAGTGCAAAAATTTTACATCGTCGATAAACCATTTTTCCTATATGTATAACTATGAATCACCATTTAAGGGATTTTTATGTTATTGCTTTTGCTGCTAAGTGTTGTATAATGGATGTGAATCAAATAGATAATTGGAACCATCTCATAGAATAAATGGAACTTGATTTTAGCCCAAACAAAACTGTTGTAGAGCTAAAGTTAGGAGTCATTCAGACTTTGTTTGCATTGCTTTAGTCACAGGAGGTGCCTTCCTTTTGCCTCAACAGGGGCTAAATGAGTCACCCATTGAGGGCATTGTTGGCCTAAAATGTACAGATGCGAAAAAGCTCAAGTGGGGAAATTTTATATCCTACCAAAAAACCATTTTAGTTCTGTTCAGAGGACTGTTTTACACAGTTAAGGCCCCAAACTGCTCCTATCAAGAGCGTCGTTTCAGATCCTATGATGCCGATTTAGCCATTATATTTCGTTTGCTTTGACCATACATTGGCCTTATTGGCCACGAAATGGGGGCCAATTTTCGCCCCTTCTGAGGTAGATTTGGCAATACCATTTTGACCCCTTTAAAAGCCAAAACAACCTCTCATTTTTCAAAAACTGCCCCTCATTTTCCCAAAACAACTCTGTTATGAAGTCGTTTCGGCTATCCCATACAGGGCCATTTCTGCCCTTTTTGGCTTGGGCCAAAACAACTCATTTCCAGTAAGGCCAAATAAGCCCCAAAATTCGGGCTATTTCACCCACCGAATGGCCCCCCTTTTTTTAGGGGCCGAGACAGATCCTTTCGATTTACTTCGATTTTACTGAAATCCTCAGCGGTCGTAAGCCGCGTTGAACAAGCTAGATGTAAATGACCTGACGCATCTCATTATATACTTCAGATTTTAAATATTTACTGCAGAACGACGTTAATGTGCCGATTGATGAATCTCAAGAATCTTACTGAGCCCGTGAAGTCGTCAGCTTTTGCTCAGTCATCCTCCAGATAGAAATACGCAATAGCCTGTTGAAAGATATGTTAGAAGGACCGTGACATAACTGAGAACGCTTTTGAGAAAGGAAATTTCTGAAAGCATATGGACAGGCCATTCTAGCTTCGCTTTAGATCATCATTGTTTGAAAACATTGGTTGTAATTGACCCTTTCCAGAAACTTGAAAGGAAACACTTTATGAGCTACTTCGTGAAATTAAAGTGTTTTTCTCTTTAGCAAGAAAGGAGGGAAGGTTCAAACATTTTTTGTACAAAATGTTAAAAACACAACTTTCGGTGCACATCTAGCGTGCATGCATCAGGAATAAAACTTGATTTCTTTTGAGCCTTAAAATCTTAGAAGTGATTAACAAGTAACTTCCTCCAGTAATATCCATTTATTGACTGGCAATGTAGTTAAAGAGATTATACCCAAACTTATAAGGTAGAAGTTGTTGTCATGATCTAACACCAGTTACTCGTAACTAGCTTGCAAAGAAATGTTTGTAGCTAGAGAGAAGAATTAACGATCAGACATAGGGAGTTAAATAGTTGAAAGCCGGCTTCACAATCTCTTCTCGAGAAAGGGAGGAACCTGGGGAACAGTGTGGCTTGTTCAGCTCTCTGAAGCCGCCATCTTAAAGGCTGTGTCCCAGATATGAAATATTAATCAGGCGAAGAAGAGGTATGTTAAACAGTTGTAGTAAGATGTTTTTTCATGACGTAGGACCTTTCGTAGTAAATTAAAATATTACCAAAAGCGGTTCCCAATGCTTACTCTCAACCGTGTTTTAGAAAAACGGAAGCAACATTGTATTCGTAAGTCCGCACACTATTTGCTCTGTTGGACTTTAGCCAATTCTGATTCGCCGAGCTTATGGGCCTAAATTTCTCCAACCAGAGAAGTCAATCGAGATATATATTACTCATGATTACCAAGCGAGCAATGAAAACGAACCGTGTGGTCAGGCGACATCATATTTGTTTGATGTTTCGTCATGTTGCGACACCCAATGATCATTTGATGTTTCGACTTGTCGGTTCGCCATGACCCTTCCTAGATTAATTGAAATGTTACCCGAAGCGTTTCTTAATGTTGACTCTAAAGCAGGTTCAAATTGAAACAAGACAAATTCGTAACATCAGACTGATTTGATGGACTGTTGCCCCTTTTGATTCCGCCGAGCTGAGGGCCTAAACTTCTCCTTCAGGAACAAGCAATAACTGACCGAAATCTTTATCGCAATTACAATTCACTTTAGTTGGCCAGGTATTAAAACGAGCCAGACGGCGATATTATACTTATTTGATAATTAACATCCACAGAATTACATGTGTGTCTCGAGGAGCCTCACTATTGCTGAATTGTCTGATTGTTAGTTCACTTCGAGTGGTCAGAATCCTAGAATTTTTACGCCGACGTTGTAAGGTAAATTTACAATTTAACAAGCAAGCAGGGAACATGAAATCGCGTTCTAATCCCATTTAGAAAACGGTGCACATCTTACCTTTTGCTTTAAAGGGATGTGCTCATAATATGCGGTTGGGATATTAATTCTGAGCAAGATATTTCTTTATTCGTAAACACGTATTTCCGCTTTGGGATAGTTTTAAGGAACATCCATGACGAGAAAAGTACTAATTGTGCTTATATCGTTCCAATAAGACAGAATGAGGAAAGTGGTGTTTGTTATAAAATGAAAGCTGTATAGATATATATATATATATATATATATATGGTGGAGAAATTGCCAGGATTAGCACCAATCATGTACGTGATGGGAATAAAAATACTGAGTTATTTAGACACGAGGAGGAGAAATAGGTCTTGGTGGTGTTCAGGTTTTGTAACTATATCACAGGCGAGAGAACAACTCACTGATTCAGGGCATGTATCCCGTTTTTCCTTCCTTCCTTACACCTTCGGCGAGTTACAAAGTAGAGTAAAATTTCATTTCGAAACTGTCTTTTTGCGTGATATTTTCATACATATCACATGCGTAAATGTGTAATTAGGTGCTTTTTCCGTGACCTTTTGCTTTTTATTGCATCATTTTAGTTCTTAGAAATGCATTATTCCCGGTAAAAATTTCTTGCAGAAATTCAGTTCTTTTCATATGAAAGTTTTGTCTATCTTTGCCTTTTTTATCAAAGCTAACGCTATTTTTTTAGTCAAATTATGTTATTCTTCGTGCTTAATGACTGAAACTGATCCTCGTTGTTACGTTGCATTACAAATGTAAGAATTTATAGTTTTACCTTGATGTTTACATCAACGGCAAACAGCAAAACACCTACGATTTCACTCACTTTTCCAAAAACCCTACAAAAAATGTCTTAAGAAGAATAGCAACAATGATCTTGCGCACAACTAGTGAAAATTTAGTCATTTTAAAAGATAAACGGCTGAAAGAAAACAGCTAGCATTCTAACACTGATCATTTTAGTTTGCCATATGGTCATACATAACCTCTCCAATAGCACCACCGTCGTCAAAATATCAATATGATAAGGGAATCATGGATCTGTTTTGTCGATTTACACTCTTGAAGCACTAAGTGAGCTTTATTTCTCGATTGAAGGGTGAACGCTTCAGTGACATCGCCGTGAGGAAAATTTAAATTTGATTTTATTTAACTTGAACTGTGCATTTGACGAATGACAGTCGATGGGCCTCGCTTTTCTTTTTCCTTTAGAACTTGAATATCAAAAATTAGCAAGGCTAGAAGATAATCGTGTTTCCTTTCATGTGATCGTATTATGCACTGAATGCATAGGTAGATGATTGGGTTTGATTTAAAAGTCTGGTTGTATTTTCTGATTCTCGCCATTCTCAAGTGGATAAGTACAAATTGAAATTTAGAACACATATTCAGGAAGCAAAGCACAACATGACAATTCCGATGCCCTTGCAATTACAGTGCCATAGACAACCAAAAAAAGTTAATAAATCATCTGAAAAAATAGCATAAATCAGGTATTATGACAATATCTCAGCAACTGTTAACCTCAGAGAGCATAGACTAACCGCATATTTCTTTGTTGTTGTTTTTTTCAAAACCATATCCTCTACCTTGACCTTGATTATTCTGGACATCACCAAAACCTCATCCAGTAATTGTTTATTATATACCTACTACGGAGGTATAGTTTAAATAATTATAGATATCTAATATCTTGTACTTTTGTTTGCATACTCTTGTATTATTTTGCTTATTTATTCGTATGACTCTAGACTGTTATGATAGGATTAACCAATCTAAGTTAAAAACTAGAAAAACCGCCGGAAGATAATGTGATTTCCTTCTGGTTGGCTCATTAGTCTCAATGAGAACAAACTGGCTTCAGACGAAGTTTTCGGTGTTATACTTCGGCAAACAATCATTGAATATAAGTCTCCTTTGTAACAATTGTTTACCTGATCGTTTTATTTCTGATCGAAATCTTTCATTTGCTAACATGAAAACCTGCAGCCTGAGTTTCACAAAAAGGTCCTCTGAGAGGACGTAGAGTTACTGGTTACCGTAATTTAAGTTAGTATGTTCTCGGAAACGCAAAATCTTTTTTCCGCTTTTTGCTGGAAATGAGTGAAAGTAACCTCAAAAACTCTTTAAGATCGCGAGGTGTTTTAGGTATCAACTTGTGTGTTTGTTTGAAAGCTTCTAAAAAGTCACAGAAATATCAAGAATGATGGTCGTCATCCAAAATCGCATAATACTGAGCACTTTCAGCACGCAGGCTACAAAAACAATATAAGGTGATATCACTTGTGTATCAAATTTCCAAATGCATTTGCTCACAAACGTTCATAAATTTTGATGCTACGATCTAAACCTTTGTTCTCCTGGCCAAGGGAGATTCTTTTTTTTTCCCTTCGTACGTCACTTTTTGACTCACAGTTGCTTAATGTTTACAGAGTTTTTTTCTGCTTGCAATTGGATACAAACCTCTCGGTCCCCTGCCTCGAAGCGCAGAACACTTTTTTTGCGATTCAAGTTGTCCTTTTTTTTTTTTTTTTACTGGGTGAAATGAAAGATATTTTCAGTTTGGTTTTATTTTCACCGATGGAGAAGAAAAGGAAAGATAACTACCGGCATCTGTGGCAATGGATCATAACAATCTTCACTATCACACAGCCTTACAGCTGTACACTAAACGAGAAACAAAAGCATGGATTATTTTATCTAAAAGATAACATATTTACGTTTTGTCTACTATGCATAGCCCTATTATGGTTTGTGTA